ATATCTTTATTAAAATTAAAGATAGAATGATAAAATTTAAATATATTATATATAAAAGGAATATCTTTAATTTTATTCAATAAATAGGGGGGTCAAGCTTAAATAAATTTTAAGAAAACTTAAAAAACCTTTTAAAAAATAATTTAAGCGGGCAAATTTGCCTGCTAGATGGTTTAAGGGATAAACACAATATTAAATATATAATAAAAATATATTAAAAATATTTTTAAAAAAATATAATAAAAATATAATTAAAAATATTATAAATATAGTTTTAAATATATAATAAAAATATAATAAAAATATTTTTTTAAAAAATATTATTAAGACATTATTAAAGATAGTATAAATATAATATTAATTATATAATAAAATTATAATAAAATAGTTTTTAAAAAATATTATAAAAATATTATTTAAAGTATTTTGTAAATATTATTAATATATATTAACAATAAATTAAAATTTATATTTTTATTAAAGAGAATTGCTAATTTTCACCAGAGTTAAAATTCACCGAGTGCTATATCTCAAAAACATACTAGCTAACACCTCTCAGAGGTACTAAGTAAAAATATTCAGAACCCCAAAAAACCTTATGCTAACTAAAATTGGGGTTCTAATATCTAACCCTAAGCTTTGTCAAAATTTCACTCTAACCCTAAAAATATAATGATGGTGATTATACCTCCAGGTAAATGTAGTTATTTTCTTTATTAAAATATATTTTATTATTTTTATTATATTATTTATTAATATTATTTAAAATTAACTTAACTAGAGTTTGGATCTACTAGATACTATTAATAAATTTAACAATTTTATTAATAGAAAGGTACATTATATTGTACAATATAGTATATTTTTATTATTTCAAAATATAATTAAAATTTTAAATAAAATTTTATATTTAGATAGACTATGTTATATAATCAGATTTTGCTTTTAAATTTATAATTTAATAAAGAGATATGCTAATATTAATCTTACATGATTGAATCTAACCTTCAATTTATATAAAATACTACAATATCAAAAGTTTATCTGTTTTGTTAATTTTTTTATTTACATATAATCATCTGTGATAATTAACTAATTAAATTACACAATTTTTAAAATATTTGTTAGTTTTAATACTATATATCAGATATACTAAGAAATAAAAAAAACTTCATATTAAGAAACTTATAAATTAATATAAAAAAATTAATTAATCCTATATATATAAAGAATAGATAGTAGCACATAAAGTAAGGTAAGAATTCAAACTTATTAATACAATATATTATATATAAACTAAAATTTATTATAATTAACAAACTCAAACACATTGCAAGAACCGGATATACTCAAGTATTAAATCTGAATTTTTTGTTGTTATAAGCCTATTTCTATTTAAATTAACTAATATATAGGTAGTAATCGAAGTTTAGTTAAATCTAATATAACAAGGTAATCTTGAACAAAAATTTCTAGTTATCTTATTTTACAGCATAGTTTGATATAGTCCAATAAATGGTAGATATATTTTGTATTCTAAGTAAAGTTTTTTTAGTTTTGAATTTTTTAGAATTTTTTTGCATAATGAATGAAGATACTTTCTAAAGCCATTAATGATATTTGAGAGAAATTTTTGTTAGTAAAATATTACATTCTCAGAAAACATATCAATAAGTTACTCAGGCAATTGATTTATATTAGCCTATTAAACAAACTTTATCATATAACAAAATCTATTTGCTTCGATACAGAAATGGTAATTTTATGCTGCAATAAATCATTAATTATACATACAACTAAAGTAAATTATGTGCTTTGATGCATATATATTTCTTTAATAATTATGCATATATTCTGCATCCATAATGTATATTATGCATGATTATTCTATGTTTTGTACCATACCACATGAACTTTTAGTATCGAACCTACCATTCAGAGTACTTTGGAACTTATCAAAATTTTTTCTCAATTTTGATTATTAATATTAATAGTAGCATATATTATGCAGTATTATGCAACAACTCTAGCTTATTATATATTGTCAATTATATTATGCAATTTATGTAGTTTTATACAATTTTATAAAATCATCATTTCTGCTTCAACATTATACCATGTAGATTATACAAACTAAATATTTTTGTATAACTTCTACATATTTACGAACGTATGTATATATGTATATTGTAACAGTATATAAATAATATCTACTACCTATACAACTACTAAATACTATATTTAGCTTTAATTACTCAAACAAAATTTATACATGTCTCGATCAAAGTACCTTATTTTTTAGGTCAAATATAGGGGGTCCTTAAAGCCGGGTTAAAAAAAGTTACGTTTTTGATGTTTTAGGAGTTACCTTTTTGATACAGTTAAGGTTAGTAGGTTATTTATATATCAAGAATACAATTTATGCAGCATGTAGATTATTATATGAAATCTGCCCCGCTTTAAGGAACCCCCAAATATAGTAGTTAGTAGCTATATAGGTAGTATTTTTACTACTCTGAAAGTTAGATACTTTTTACACTATTACAAGCTGTGGTACCTGTAAGATTAAACTATAATTTTAACCAATACTATTAAATTAATTGACAGTCAAAGATTAGTAATCTACTAAGCAGAGTATCTAATTAGAATTGCTATTAAGTAGAATTATAAAACCAACCAAATTGTTTAGCAATTATATTATAGAATTTCAACTTATGATCTATAGTACTTGAAGTTTTACTATAAACAAGAATCGACAAATAAACTACAACAAATTTCTTTATATAAAAGATTACTAAAGTGAAGTACTTAATTTCTAACTCTTTTCTGTATATAGTGAATTAGCAAAAAACAACTTATTTTTTGTTGAGTAGAGTAGACAAAAAAAGTGCAATTAGCTATTATTAAAAAATTGAATACATCACAGTACTGAGAATTCGTAACTAATACTATTTAAAGATCAGCAAATAAGCTTTTATGAATCTTATATATTTACATAGCAAAAAAGAAGTATTTGGTTGTTAGCTTATATCAATAGAACCTGATCAGCAAAAACCAAATTCGTTTCTGTTAAAATACAGGAAACAAAAAAATATTTAATTGAGAAGTAGATTAGAAAAAATCACAAAAAGCATTACAATGTACATACATATTAGTTAATTCTAAATTAAACCTAATTCTGTAAAAAAACTCTCTAATACAAAAAAATTTAAGAAAAAATTGAAAATATTTATATGTTATATCACAGCAATTCTTGAATATTCTTACAATTATTATTAATAAATATGAGTTAATAACAACAAAATTAGGCTAGGTTCTATTATAATGATAGTTAAAAAAAATAGATTTTTTTTTGCATCTTATTTCACAAATTATTATATTATATTAGATTCATTATATAATTTAGAATTTTATATATATGGATTAGCAAAGATATTCATTATATATAATATAGTCTTGTTACTATTAAATCTGATATAACCCTATTAAAAATTTGGTACTTAAATTTGGTTTATTAAACAGGCGAATCCTGTATAAAGATATCTGCTATATTGACAGTTACAGTAGTTAGATATTCATTTTAATAATTTGCAAATTTTTCTTTAAATTTCTATCAGATAAGAATATAATAATATTAGATCTTCATTTTCTTAATTCTTATTAAACTGAATTATAATATTATTACTGTAGATATTACTTTTTTAAAAATTTTAGATGAACATATTATTATTACTTACTAGATCTTTGTTTACTATAAATTTTTGATTACAGTATTATTAGATCTTTCCCTCTTTAGATCACTGTTTGTAGATTTTTTGAGAAATGAAGGTTCCGAGTTATTAAAATGAAGGGTAATAATGAAGGTTAAATGTAAGGTGAATTTTATATAATAAGTTTGGTTTCAGCATTGATTATAAGAAAAATGTAGATAATTGAATTGAGATCAGATACATCAATATAGTGTGTAAATTATGACAAAATAATTAATTAAAATATGAAGTATAATTTAATATAAGGGAAGTATATAATAAGTTTAATAGGAGAAATGATATAAATAATGTAATGCAAAAGTAATATAAAAGCTAAAGAAAATAAATAAAATTAGTTTTTTATTTGAATAAACTGAAATAATAAAAAATCATATACATAATTCAGATTTATACAACTAACAGAATTAAATATAAAAAAATACCTATTATTTATTTAAAGGTGTACTTTTTTTGAAACTAATAATACATGTATCTCTAAGAGAGCGTCTGCCAACCAAAAGATGTTTACATCTAACAAAAAACAAATATTTTCAATTAAACAAAATGAGACCTTTAATGACATGGCTAAGAATATTAAAGCTTAACTCCATTAATAAATCACTTTTGAACAACAATTTGAGGATTCAAGATACTTTCATTTTTATTTGTGTTCACAGTCAAGATATTCTCGTTCTCAATCCCAAAGGCAATCTAGGTTATAATATTCTTATTCTTGATCACCAAGGAGTTATCAACTACCCGGGCATTCTCAACATTCACATTATTCTTATTCACAATCACCAATACAACTTCATTTACGTCATTCTTTTTTTCGATTACCAAGATGCTCTCATTCTTAATACCAATGTTCACAATGTTTTTGATTACCAAGATGCTCTATTCTCAACACCAATATTCACAACATTCACGATCACCAAAACACTCTCATTCTTGATCATCAAGACGCTCTCATTCTCAATCACCAAGACGCTTTAGTTCTCGGTCACCAAGACGCTCTTATTCTGTATTACCAAGATACTCTCGTTCTCGATCACCAAGATGCTCTTGTTTTCAATCACAACATTCTTGATCCTAGTCAAGTAGCCACAAAACTCTTTCATTCAATTCTGATTATGAAGCAGCAGCATATATTGCTGAACGACAAAAACTTTTAAAATTGCGAACCAAATGGCCCAGTATATGGTTTTAAAAAGTCAATCAATAAAGAAAGCACTGATGTTTTTACTTAACAAGTAAGGCATCTTTTTTATTTATATTTAAAATTCATATATGATACTAAGTTTTACAAAATACTTTTAAAAATTAATAACATTTCAAATATATTTAAAATGTTTGTTTTTTAGAACATGACACCTTACAAAAGCAATCATTCATAAATGCATTAGACTATGCTTTCTATCTAGAAAATTCTCACATAAAAATATATCTGTTTTAAAGATAGCTGCCAATACAGCATTTTGAAGTTATAAAGATATACTTCGAAATAGTCTCAGAAAAGTTGCAGAATGTTTCATTGAAGATTTTAAGTAACTTGATTTTATTTAGGGTTTTGGATCAGTTTTACTTTTCCTATACTAATATTAGTTTTAACATAATAATTATAATTAATTTAATTTATAGGATTGAATTTTTTTCTCAAGTCATACAATCCAATATTTAAGCTTATTTTCAGGAGGACATTTGTAGTTATTTCTTAAACATTTCTTTGAGGTAATTGATGAAGAAGCAACATTTATAACCAAATTTAAGGGGGCATAGCAGATATTTATGTCTAAATATCTTTTAAAAATGATTGAAAAAATATTGGATAATAAAAGAAGACTTGTTAAAATTATGGATCTAGATCTTCTTACTTTGAACTACGATATTTATGATATTGGAGATGTATTAAACCTTAATAATTCAAACTTTAAATTATTATTAAAGAGAGAACTAGACAATAAAGGCAGCAGCAAATAATTATTACAATTTGATTATACTAGTTCTTTTACTATGCATCTTGTAGCACAAACAGAATCATTTATCAGGCTTGTTATCTTAATTAATTTATTATTACCCAAGTCAAGATAGATCACAAATTGTTTAAAGTTTAAATAGTAATTTATTAAATATATAGTTTATATATTTAATAATGAATAGTGCAGTATACACAGGTCAAAATCAAAAATATAAACCAAAAATCTTCAAACAATCACCAGAACGATAGCAGGCTGATAGCTTGGCGGCTGATATAAGATTTAATGAAGGTAGAAATAAGCCGATATATTAAAGATAACTGTAAAATTTGTT